TTATTATCCTCATATTATATATGAAAATTATAATTATTTTCTAAAAAGAACTTACCTCAACAGCAATAGATCTATATGGAATCATTGTATGATTGAACGTCCATCCATTTTGACAAGATTTGATTGGCCAGGATGGATCTGCTTTTCTAATACCTTTTTCCATTATTTCAGTATAGTTCACATTATACATATTGCATCGCGAAAAAGAAGTTGCACCTTCCTGCTTTAACTCTTCTGTTGATGCTATAGGTATCGATATCGCGATCCTGAATGAAGAAATACAATTTCAATTAAAACGAGAATTGTAATATGTAATATGTTTTGAAGAATATTAATTTTATACGATAATAATTATATTATATTTCATTTCTTCTTCTTTTTGTATATACATCTATTACATATCTATTATCTATTAAAAATTACATAGATTATATATTATCAATTATCTATTAGAATTACATATCTATAAATATCTATTAGAAATTAAAATAAAATTTTAAAACAAAACGAGGTGAAAGAATTTAATAAAATAATATGAAGAAAGTAAACGAGAAATTAAATTTTATTTCTTCAATAATTTAAACAAAGTTTGAAAAATAAAAAAAAGAATACAAAAAATTAGCATTATAATAATTCCATTCTCTTAAATTTAGGTCACATTCAAATTTATCTTTTTAAAAAAATCCTCCCCCATCAAAAAAGAAAAAATCCAAATCTACTCATATTCAAATATATTTTTCTATAAAAAAAAACAAGACGAGACAGAATAAGATAAAAGAGAAATAAGATAGAAAGAAAGAGAATTAACAATAGTAAAAATAATAAAAATAATAAAAAGATAAAAGTTTAAAAGATATTCGTCTTCTGTATGTCTAAGAATTCCAATTGCGTTCAGATTTAATTATTAATTTTGATATGTTTAATGTATTATTTACAGACAAATAAGAAAAAAAGAGAAGATGCATGAAAATGAGAAAACAATTTCCTGATTGAAACATGTGAACGTCTAGAATTTGCAGGAGGTTGTCGACCAAACTGGTTTCCGGCGAGCCCTCGAACGATACGATACCGGTCTACTATTACAAGCGTAGTGATTCAGTGGGAAACGCATAGTGTGAACGATTTTCTTCGTTGACGCATCCCAGAAAACCAAATCTTGCGTGTGTTGAGAACGGAAGCGTGATTTCTTTCTAGGCTGATCGTTGGTAGTTTCCGTCCAGATAATAGAAATTCCAAGTTTCGAAGAAATAATTCGTAGAACGGTGAGTAATTAACTACTTTTAAATTTATGCTTGGTTTTTTTTATGATTGTGATATAGATTAGATTAGTTATAATAATGTAAATTAATAATGTAAATTGATTTGACGCTTTTTTAAAAATGATATTTAAATTTTTTTTTTTCGAACAGAGATGAATTAACATCTTATTTCTTGATTTGAAAAATTCAAATTTAGAAAATTGCAAATTCTCGAAACTTTCAAAACTTTTTAAATTTAAATTTTATTTTATTTCGAATAGAGACAGGTCAAAATTTGGTTTTTAGATTTGTAAAATTCAAGTTTGGAACATTGCGAATTTTCGAAACTTTCGAAATATTTTAAATTAAATTTTATTCTTTTTAAATAAAAATGAGTCAAAATCTGATTTTTAACTTTCAAAATTTGCAATTTTTGAAATATTAAATATAATAAATCTAAAATTTAAGTACAAATTCAATTATTAATAATTAAAAAAAATTATATCGTTGTAATATTGTAATATTCTCTTAAATTATTTTTACAAATTATTTTTACGAGAATTTCGAATCAAAATAATAAAAAGTTTCGAAGTTTAAGAATTCGAAATTTTAAAGAATTTTGAAAAATATCCCATATCTAATTTAAAATAAAATACATCTTTTGTTTTTATCTTGAGTAAAATTTGAATTTTATCTCATTTGAAATAAAATTTGAATAGTCTCTTATATTTTCTTTCAAAACGAAACAACATGAAAATGATGATATTACGATTAATATTTATATAAATAGATGTTGACTTTTGTTATTAATCTTTGATAAATATAATTTAAATTCGTAGTTTCATATAAATTTTGTAACTCGAATGAAAATATTTTCGTAATACGATATGATATTATCATAACTGGGAAAATGGAAATTTCTGTGCAACTAGAAAACTCTGTCCTCGATATTTATTGCTATCTATTTGAAAAACAAAAGAGGCTTGATATAATTCACGTAATTTCATGGAATATAATATATATGGTATAATATAAATGGTAATTAATTGAAAAATAATCTGTAATGGTAATCTATAGTAATTAATTGTAAGAATTTTCAATGATAAAATTTATACATTATTGGATGTGATTTGAATAAATATTATATCTACGTGAAATGTTTATTATATCATGAAAAATTCGATAATATAAGTTGATTTTTATTAAAAAAACTTTATTATATCAAATAAAATTTTTTAATTCATAATTTTTAGAAGTTTTGAATTTATAAATATTTAAATTGCTAGATTCTTAAATTTTCGAATTTTCAAATTTTTGAATCATTGAATAAATTACATTTTAGAGTATAAAAAATTTTTCAAGTTCTCTTAATTGTTTAAACATCGAATAATTAAAATTTCAAATTTTGAATTTTTAAGAAAAATTTTTGAATTTTTTTTGATTTAAATTTTCGATTTTTATACTATTATATATATATAAGCTCCGAATTTTTTAATTTTCAATTTTTCAAAAATATATTATTTTACATATTTTCAACATTTTTAAATATTTAAATTCCCTTGTAAACTCCAAACTTCTAAATATCAATTTAAAACAATTTCACACTCTTTTATTCGAAATTATTAAACTTCACAATCTTCCGAATATTTAAATTTTCATATATCGAAACTTTTAAATCTTCAATGCCTCAAACGTTTGAAACTATTATAATATTTTTCCACTACGCCCATTTCATTCAAATAGGTGAAAGAACTACGATCTTTCTACTGTTCCATAATTCAACGATCCAGACAGTACGAACTCTGCATGAAATTTCACTTACTTTTCTTCGTCCGTGAGGTTCCATCGATCGAGTTCTGGCACGGTGCACCAATGCTCGTTTGGTAGCAACGTGATGAAGAATTGCGTGAAGTAAAGGAACGCGTATACGAAGGTGAAGGGCAAAAGGACAATAAAGAGGAACCATTGATAACGGCCTGCCTCGCCAACGTAAGGTAGGATATCGTCGAAGGTTTCGATCTTTGGACGCTCGCCCTCTTCGGCTTTCACGCTCTCCACCATGACTGTCATTATCTTGATCTCTGCGAATAAACAACACCTTGATTACTTAACTTGAATTATGTGTAACGAGGAAAACTTGAGTTCAAGGTAAATTATATTATCAGTTTGATGAGAAAGTTCTGTTTTTTTTTTCTCTTAAAATAATTTACTGAATTAATTCTTTTTTCCTGACGGATTTCGAGTCACACATCAACTATTATGATTATTAGCAATCATATATTATTGTATGCTATTTCATGATTATTTTTAATCTTTTTTTCAAATGTATTTCGAATTGTTTTAAACTAAATTGATTATTTTGATTAAAATTTTTGTAATTTAATTTAAATTATATTTGTGTATTTTTCAAAAAAATTTAAAAACTCAAGGCGAATCAAAGCCTTGTTAGTAGGTTGATGAATAATTCTGTCTTTCTTTTTTATAATTTAAAATAATTATTTTGATTAATTTAATAGGTCGATTAAATAATCGCTTACCTTGATTTATGCGTTACGAAGATATTCAAGTTTAAAATAAACTATATTACTAAGTTAGTGAGAAATTCTGTCTTTTTTCTTAAAATTGTTTTTATTGCATTAATTATTTTGATTAATATTTTTAGATCAATTTTCAAATAGCTAATTTTGAATCATTAAAGAATAATTAAATACTTACATTTTTAAATTAAACTTTCAAGTATTCTGCTTTAATATAAATCATTTTTAACATATTGTTTGTTTGTATACAAATTATTTCATCATAATTCATGTTCAAGAATTAATTGAAAAAATTAGTTTAAATTATATTCTATTGCAAGAATTTATTAAAAATTGGAAATTTGTAATAAAATCATCAATATTTACCAATTTTTTAAGAAAATATATTTATCCCTAACTCTTCGATTATTGTATAATATAATTCATTGTTATTTCTAGTTACTTTCAAAATTTATTTATCTCATTAATATAGAATAAATATTTAGTTGTGTTATTAAAATATAACTTCAATATATAATTTTATTAAAAAAATTTTATGAATCTTTTATAATGTAGAATTTTTCATAATTATACTACGAAAAACTAAAATATTTGTTACCAGATTCTTAATAATAAATAATTTTTTTATATGTATTAATATATCCTAATATATGAAACAACATCATTCGAATTCTGTTTATACTTGAAATAATTTTTTCTTATTGTGAAATGAGATTTTTAAGAAAAAAAAATCGATTTTAAGTTGAGATGAATTAAATTATTGTTAAAAAAAAAATGAATTATTGTTAAAAAAAATCAAGATAAAAAAGATGAAATCTCTTTTGAAACGATTATTATAGTTGATATCATTGATCAAAATTCCTGTATATTTTATTTTAATTTTTTTATTGCATTATTTGATATAATTGTAAGTTATATGTTGAAACCAAAACAAAAAAATATAAAGTTAGAAATAGACTTCTCTTTATTTGAATTCTTTGGTTTGTTAGAGAGGTGAAAAAAGAAGTAAAAAGATCCTTGATCATTTTTGCAAGGTTATATTGCAAAATGAAGGATACTATTGAAGGTTTAATACAGTCACTTGTACATTCTAATTGAAGTGTCCTTTAAATTGTTTCTTATTTTTCTTTTTATTAAATGAGGAAAGGATATGATAATTATAACTAAAGAATGAATAAACTATAAATTATTATTCGATATCTTTTAGGGAAAATTGCAATAATTTCCTAAAAACAAATATTTAAATTATAAAATAGTATATCTCAAGTTCTAGATATTATTCTAGATATTTTGCAGAATATTAATTTGTATTTATTCTTTAAAGAGATTTTAAAACATAATAATATGATAATTTTAATTAATCTTTTAAAAAAATTCATATTACAAGTGGAATATTATTTAATTAAAATTAAAAAAATTGAATTATTAACGATTATTGTTATAATAAAATAAGTGAAACTGATATAACAGTATAATAACTTTATTGTATTATTAAGTTTAAAGAAACTTAATAATAATATCAAAATAATATTGGAAAAAATGACTACGATAAAAATTATGATTTATAAAAAAAAATAATTATTATTGCAATTATACAAAATTTTCATTACAATTTACATATTAATCAAATAATAATATAAAATAATAATAAAACAAAAATAAGAAATTGATACTTTTAATATTTTTATTTAAATTTGAATATTAATCATATATAATCATAATCTACTATATAATCCAGAAATAAAATATTTTTCATTATTTTAACAAATAATAAATTATTACAGCGTTAACAAAAGATTTTTTACTTTTACTCAACGAAGGCTAAAGTTATGAAAGAATCTGAATCACGACCAACTATTTAGGATAAAATATATATGAAAGTTATACTTCCTTTCATAATTGAGCTCCTAATTTGCTACCAATTAAACGCTTTTTCCCATCATGTTCGTCCTCTAAGAAATCTTTTTACAAAAGAGAAATCCGATTTTACATATAATCGTTTTTCAAGTTTGAAACATAATACGATATTAAACACTAATTATAAAAAGAAATTTATCATAATTGAAAACTTAAACTATTATTTTTTGATGTTAGATATTGTATAGACTTTAAAATTTATTGGTATACCCTTTGAATTTTTTTAAAACTAAACTTAAGATTTTAAATTATTTTAAAAAGTTAGATGGATAAATTTATTAGATGGCATATAAAGAAAATTTCGAAAATTTGCAATTGTGAAGAAAATAATAAAGTATCATTTTTTATTTGAGTTATTAATAATTTAAAAATTTAAAAATAAATTTGTGTCATTTATATATGTGCTAAAAAAAAAAATCAAAATGTTTTTCATAATTTTCGATCATCTTAAAATTTTTATATATTTCGATATCCGTTGTTTGGTTTCTATTTTAACTGATTTCAATGATTTTTTTAATATAGATATGATTTATAATTCATGTACAAATATATAGATTCTATAGCTTGAAATAAGACAAAAATTATATGCGAAATTTCATTTTTGAAAATTTTTGAAAATTTTTCAAATATAAGTTAAATTAGTAAATCTTTTATAAGAATATTATATGAATATTATATATAACATTATATATAAATAAATTGTTAGTTTGAGAAGGTTATTATTCTAAATAATGAAAATAAGCAAAAAATGTAGAATAAAATTTTCAAAAAAAAAAGCGAATTTGCAAATTCATTGATTATATATTATACTATATATATATTTAGATTCGATTTTTTTTTTAAAAACGAAAATTTAAAAATTTTATTTATTTTTATTTATAAAATATGACATTGATAGTGTATTTACTAGTGTATTTATGTAATATATTCATTGATAATCAAAAATTGATTAATTTCATTTGTACTTAAAAAATTGTCAAATTTGATTTGTTCGAAAATATATAAAAAAATTTTATTTTATATTTTTAATTTATTCTTTTTTATGTAGAATCACTTATACTATCAATTATAGGATATCTTATATATTAAATTTTTTTAGTACATTATAAAATTTTAATAATTAAATTATGTACAACATGAAATAAAAAAATTTGTAAATTTTTGTGTTGTTATTTACTTAACAAATATAAGAATATAAGAAAATTATCTTTTATTATTTTTTTTTTTACTAATTTTTCAAAATTTTTATTATAATTAAAATGTTAATAATTAAATGTATAAATATTTTATACACTAATCAAGATGATTATTATGTGTAATTGATGTTCATTAATAAGAAACTTGAATAAAAAAAAAAGCAGTAATAGCAAGAGAACCGGAAACGATCAGTTCGTGATATAATTGCTATTTTCTACAAACTTGGAGAAATTTGCATAAAATACATATTTTGTGAATATTATGACGCGTTTGTGTCGAATCAGAAAGTCTATGAATATATTGTATGGAATAACATGGCATGGAATGAATTAAACGAAACAATGAATAAAATTTTCAATTTTTGATTTTTCAATAAAATAATTGACTATAATGAATTTAATTATGAGTAAAAGAAAGATAATTTTAAGATTCAAAATTTGTATTTTTAAATTATAAATTAAAAAAAATGATTTTGAAAATAAGAGAATTATTCATGAGATTATTATATCGTAAGTAGTCGATAATGCAATAGTAATTGTTTTTTACAGAAATAATAAAATAATAAAATAAATATAATCTTTGAGTTCATAATATTTTAAATTTTCGGAAATTGTTGAATTTTTTTAATTTAAATATATTTTTGAAACATATCAAATCTTTTTTTTCTTCTCTCTTTTCTTCTAACAAATGTTAAAATTTTCAAATTTCAAATAAAATATTAATAATTAATTATAATAAAATAAAAATAATTTCCATAAAATTTGCAGGTATAAAACAGAAAAACTAAAAAAATGTGTTTAATATAAAAATTTATAATAACAATTTATTATTATTTATTCAATCATGAAGAGGAAAAAATTTATATACAATACAAAGTAAATGAATTTTAAACGACTATTTAGTCATATTTAGTCATAATATATACATATGTATTGCGGTATAATAATTACCACTATCAAAATCTACATGGACGTATGTAAATGATATGGCAATGAAAATATATATGTTTGTATAAAAAATACGACTAAACACGTTTCAGTGTAATAACGAGTTATTTGTAATAAATTGTTTACATTGAATAATGATTAACTAAGTTAAGAATCATTTCCGTATCGTGTGCAAAGTGCAAATGTAATTTTAAATGTAATTTCATTAAACAAGAATTTTTTTATCAAATATATCTCTTACTTTAAAAAAAAGAAATATCTACAAAAATAAAACTAATTTATGCCCAATATAATTTTTAATATTTTTACTGCCAAATATGGAAGATTTTTATTTGAAATTCTAAAAATTCATACATCACAATAAATTTTAATTTCTTATCAAATTCTTAATCAAATGTTATATTAATTCTTATATATCATAAGTATATATTCTTATACATTATATTATAATTATATATTCTTAATTATACATTGAATATTAAAATTTCTAAAACCATTTTTTAAAAATGAAAATCAGTATTGTGAATTTTCGAAATAAAATTCATTAAAAATCAAGATCTTGAGATAAAAAAACTCTTTAATCTCAGAATAATGAATTGGAAGAAACACATAAATGCAATGTTTGAAGTGCATTTATTGCGATTAAATATATATCAAACATGTAATGATTTAACTAACAATAGATCAGTAAAAATCATAATAGTCATTATTCAAAATAATTCGTTATATATAGTTTTAGAATTAGGATCATTATCGAACCAATTCCGTTCTCTGTATCGATGTTAAAAGTAAGAATATTCGTGTGTCCACTATATTCTTACACAAAAGTGGAGATCTTGAATAATCGTTAATCATTCGAGATTAATTAATCAATATAAAAATACGATCATGACATATATACATACGCTTTGCATAAATGATTTTTCAGTTTCTTTGCCTTCGAACTGATCACAGGGAAAGCGTGTGCGATCACAATCCATTGAAATTCACCGATGCACGCGAGATATCCGCATAAACGACGCGTGTAATAACGCGAAGTGAAACGATTGTTCAATTTCATTTCGAACTATGAAATGTTTTTTGTGATTGAGACTTTTTCTTTTTTTTTTTTTTGGAAAAGAAAATTAAATTAAAAAAGAACAGGATAGAAGTATCCTCTTGTAATTCTTCTATGTTGCTTGTAAGTATCTCATTATTAAAAAAGAGAGATTAAATATTTTATTTTTACAATTACTAAAAATATGGAAGAATTTTAAGAATGATTTATAACAATTTTTATCCAAATATTAAATATATTTTTCTGTTTTGTCGCTTCTTTGTTATTTTTTCGATTTGGATCTTTGAAATTGGATATTTTAATATTTTTGTAGATGTTTATATAATATTCATTTCACATTATAAAGGATGAATTGTAAATAAATGAAATTGTATTTAAAACTATTTGGTTATATTTGATTATATTATAAACTATACAGAAAACAGAGATTTTTTAATTCTACTGTTTAATCCTATTTCAGTTATATTGGATTATTTTTAACTTATCATTCTGATAATATGAATAACTAATATTTATAAAATCTATCAAAAATAATTTGGGTCAATCACTTTTTAGTTGATTATTCAATAAAACTATAAAATATTCAGTTAAGTTATTTGTTTGATGGAAGCTCAGTTAGAGTCAATTAACTAGTTATTTGAAAAAATGTAATTTTGTAATCAATATCGAACGATTCTTTTATTATGTGTTCTTTACTGTTGAGAGTTAAAATAATATTTGAAAAGTTATGAGGATTTCTGCCACATAAAAACTTTAATTCAAGAAATCGTTAAAAATTGTTTGAGAAAAATTCAGTTTATAATATGTCTTTGATTATTGAATATAAAAAAGAATAAAAAGATATGAATATTTGTTATATTATATACTATTTAATATTCTAATATTCTAAGAATTCTCAATTCAAAAATAGTTTTCGCCAAATTGCAATAAAATGTATCGTAAATTAAACTTTACATATTCTACAAGATAGATTTTAGAGTAAAACATTCTCTATATTATTCTTATTGATAATAATTTTCATCAATAGAGATAGAGATATATCATACATTTTTCATTTTTATTATTTTTCTGTTACTTTGAATTATAGTTATTTATATATAATGTATTTAAGTCTAGAAGATATATAATATATTTAGAAATTCATTATTCTATGTTAAGTTTGATTCAAAATTATTTGAATTACCAGAATTTCATCATAATTTTTTTTAATTTTTATAATTTTTTCAAATTTTAATCTTTATTTTAATTTTAATTTTTATTTATATAATAATTATAATATACACTTCAAATATAGTTTTGGACAAATACAATCTTTTTTTTTTTGGTTTGATTATTATTGATTATTGTTATTATTATATAAGGTACTTAATCTTAAATAAATATAGATTAGTATAGATTAATTAAATTAATCAAAAGCTGTTAAAATTTTCTTTTTACTTGATTTTACAATTTAATAATTGGAAGTTTTATTAGTTATAAAAATTATTATGATTGTGATTAATATAACATAATTTAATTTGTTTGAGAAATTATATTTAAAATTATTAATTTTCTTAAATAATAATAAATAATATTATTAAATTAAACTTATTAATACTAAAGTTTCATTTTCATATTTTGTAATTTATATTATATTTTGTATAATTTATATTATATTAGTAATAATGAATATTTAAATATAATAAAAATAATTATTGATAAAACATTATTGATAAAAACTTATAACTAAACTATAACTAATAATTTATTATGTTTTATTATGTTGATTTTAATTAAGAAAAACTACTAACAATTTCTTTTTAATTAATAAAAAATGAAAGAAAATTAAAATTAAATGTAATAATAAATTTATACTCTTAAAAAAATTCCTTGAATCCAAATCTTTTAAATGATTAATTTAATGAAATTTAATTAATGAAATGAAATTAATGAAATTTAATATGAATTTTTTATTTTTTATTAATTTCTTAAATTAAATATTTTTCAAGTTTCAATTTTGATATTGATATTCTTTCAATTATTCTTCAATTTGAAAGGAACAATTGTTATTAAATATAATGTAATGTTAGTTTTATATTTATCAATAATGATTTTTTAAAGGAGATCAACTTTTTCTAAACTTCATATTAAACATAAAATTATCAAATTTTCTAAAAGAGGCGATTATTTTGAAACGATTTTTATATCCTTTATCTTCTATAATCAATGTTTCCAATGTAATCCTAGAAGTCAAGTTGTCTTTCTGGCAAACTTTTATCAATTCATTCACTTTTTTATCTTTATCATAGATATTCCAAATAAAATTATTTCGAAAACTATTTTAAATATTTTAGTATTCTTCAGTTCAAATCTTTTTCTTGAATTCAAATAAGATCAGGTAATTTAGACAGATATATTACGAATATAAAGTTGGAATCAAATTACTTGATCGATTCAAATGAAATTTAAATTTCAACATTTAATCTGCTAGAATAATAATAACTCTTTATTAATGTGATTTCATATTAGCATCGAGTTTTAATGAACTTCTTTTTTCATTATTCTTTTTATCGACACTGAGATTTTAATTAAATACTTGTCACAGAGAATTTAAAGAAAAGAAGAGAAATAAATGGAATATAACTTCTTGCAAAGAAAGAAGCAAATTTTTTGTTTGTTTTCCTTCTTTTAACGAGTTTTGCCTTTGTAGACAAATTCGTTTCGATATTTATGATATGTGAAATATTCATCCTAAATATTATTCTAGCCAAGCAAAAAAAGATCATTCTTCTCTAACAGATATAAAAAAAATATCAACAAAAAAGGAAATTGCTTCTTCTCGTAAATGTACCACTTATTCCAAATGTACCAGAACTACAAGCCACGAGGGCATCGATACCACCGTATAAACTATTTACCTTGTTTACGATCCGACTCGAAACTTTATTTCTTCCGACTTCGTAAAACCTGGAACTTTACTCGGCACACGGTATCCACAGATCCTCTATCCAGTCTTCTTGAAAAGAAATTTCCAAGTTGGAACACAAAAATCAAACTTTCTCACTTTGTCTCTCTTTCCGTTCGATTCTTGACGGAACGAATCAACTTCGAAGAACGAATTTCACGAACGAGTTTATATACTAAAATAATAAATAAAATGCAAAAAAAGAAAAAAAAAATAATTGAACGAATAACCGCGGATCGCAACGACTCCCGTGATCCTACAAGAAACTAGGACACACGTGCTCGATCTCGATCGTGACAGTGATCTTGCGAGTGCACGAGATCCCCGATTTTTCGGGCGCTACGCTACATCGTCATTTAAAAAGGGGCACGCACGGACTGTTCTCCTCGTGTACAATTAGTGAGGCTTTATACCGCGTGCAGACGACTGCCGAAGCCCCACCAACCGTGTCGCGTGTGTGCGGCTATTGGACGATGCCAACGGGCCCGTCGATTGTCTGCGGAGAGTATACACACGACGTGCATACGTCACTGGAGAACTCGTAGCCGGGGAATTTTGCGATTCCAACAGAGTTACTTCTGTTTCACGACGTTCGACTCGCTTGGATTTTCTCATGACTCGTTGCTCTTTTTTTCTTTCCTTCTTCTTTCTTTTCTTTTTTTTTTTTTTTTACAATTATACAATTGACACGTTCGCACGACACGAAAGCGGGACACGATGCGAGTATATAATAATATAACTACATACATAGGTGAGTGTACTCACAGAAAACACAGGCATGTGTTTATGATCTGTCATGAGATTAATTCGTTGCATGAATATTAAATTTCATTGACTCGTTGTCCGGGAAAAATAGATGATTTTTGAAATTTGAGATAAATAGAAATAAATGATTTTATTTCTTCGATTATTGTGAAATTTTTTAAGTAAAATGTATTAACTGTGTTTATAAAGAAATAATATTTCATAGTATGTATTTTATATTATTATTCATATAATTACTATTTTGAAATAGATATAGATAATATTTCATTATAATAGTTTACTTTAGAACATTAGTATTTTAGTATTTTTATATAAAATATTATTTATTTATTTCAAAATAGTAGTTGCATGAGTTTATTAAAATATATATATCTGAAATATCATTTTTTTTATGCAGCTATTATTTTAGAGAAAAGTTTATCTGTAAAAATCTCAAAGTACTTATCTATATTACTCGAAGAAATAAAAATATTTTTTTCTATTTATTTATTTCAAGAATTCATTCTAATTTTTTATTCTAAGAATCTCGGTAATTTAACTTTAATATTATTACGACATATTAAAATTATATTGTATGTAACATACCATATAAAAAACGCAATCTATTCAATGACTAAGGAATAGGTACAAAAAAATACATCTTCGATGCTTATTGTTTTTTTTTTTTTTGCATTAAATGGAAAAGAGATAATTTTATCTATATTGAATTCGAGCCTAAAAATATTTAATATTTTCCTATGATTTAAAAATTAAATAAAATAATATTTAAAAATCTTGTTTGTACAGAATTATTATTTATTTAATTTAATTGATTTTTTAGCTTTAGTTAAAAATAAATTTCAAAAATAATACTTCAAAAAATTTTAGAGCTAAATTTTGAAGATAAAAACTTTGTACGATAAAGTTTTTCCAAAATGTTTCTAAAATTTTAGAATTTAAAAGAATTCTCTTTTCAAAATTTTTATAAAATCTTTTTTGGAATTATTTTCATTTGAAAAAAATGAAAATTTAATTTCTTTGCCAAGTCAAAATTCTTTATTTTATGTCTTAATTATTTGTACTGTTGATTGAAAAATTTGAAAATCTTGACTTATTATTATTTAATCTGCTTGATATAGGATAATAACTTTTTTATATTATGCATTTTTCCATAAATCATCTTTAATAAAAATAAATAATTTCTTTAGAACCATAAAAAAAAATTGAAATTTTAAAAAGATAGAAATCGTGCAATTGAACTATCATGCTAAATGAAAAACTATAGATTATCGTTGAAGATCATAAACCAAGTGTTGATTGTTAAGTTGAAGTTGATTGTGAGTTAATTCAGGAATCGACTGACTGATCGTTCCTTGAACAGTTTTAGAAGTCAAGCATAATGGTTTTAGATATGAAACAATTTAAAATAATTGTTCCATTATTAACAACAATGAAGGAATGATTTTGATTTCTAGTGGAATCGAATGATTGAATTATTATTGATATTAAATTGATCGATGGTAAAATAAATATTTATCAATATAACAAAGAATAATATATAAAAAGTGAGAAGATCTAGTTATTGATAATATTTATCAATATAACATTTACATATTTGTATAAATTTGATAATAATTAAATCTCGATGTCGTCTAGTCTATAATTAATTTTATGAAAGTTAATTTAAAAAATTTATCCGAATTTTTAATCAAATCAATTAAATAAGTGATACATATCTCATATTATTTGGTTAATTTTACAAAGCTAACTGAGAAATTTATCTGTCATATGCGAATCATATTTAAGCTGTTTTAATCTATGCGGAACTCTCAATCGTTATAATCATCCAATTGGCAATTTTATTGTTTGAAAATCATATAATTTACTTATCTTTGGCTTATACAATTCTTTTTGTTTATTACACAATTTCTTTTTATTCCTTTCATTTATTTCTTTTTTCTTGCATTTCTTTCGAACAAAGGAAAATCAATGATATTCTATATTTTATTACTATATTTTTTTCGTTTGGTAAATGTTCGTCAATATATTTCATAATAGTAATAAACATAATAAAAATAAATGAAGATAAGATTTAAATTTTATCTGTTCTTACTTTTCTACATCTTATATAACGAATATAAATGGATTCTGTCTTCCTATTCTTTTATTATATGTATATCTAGTCCGTACAAATATCATCATATCTATCTTAAGCTTATGTAAACATTAAATATAATAAGATACAATATCGCACAATATCTCTTAATAATTTATTAATAAATGTAAAAATAAATATGAATGACGAATAATTGTATATAATATCCATAATTAATTAATAAATATATAAAATTTAATTAATTTTACTTTATAAATACAGTTACAAAAATAATTTAAGTTAAATTTCTTTTTTTAAATATTTAAAAATTCATAAAAAGAGAAAACTTATTATAAAAAATGTAAATAACATAAATTATTTTTTAGCAAATTATAAATTTTCATTTTCTTCTAATGAGAAATGAACTATTTTTTATTTAATTATTATTTTTAGTAAGTTATAACGTTTTAAGGAATATAAAAATATAAGGATAAACATAAAACTTAAATTTTTATTTAAAAATTATTTTGTGTGATAAATTTTATTGCGATAAGATTAAAAATGGTTTCATTCGTAAAATTAATTGTGTCAAAAATAAGTGTGACACTGTATAAATCATTTATAATTCCTTTGATTATTAAAAAAAAATAGTTTAATTTTTCCGATTCTCGAAACAAAGCAACCCCGTTGATCGCCCGAAGCGAACTCGTGCTGAGTAATGGAATCAACTCGCAAAACTCCGGATACGGAGACGCGAGAACTCTACTAACAAAAACACATATACTTCAGAAACTTGATACCCTTGAAGAAAAGAGAATTACCATCTGTATACGCAAGATCGCTTTGTCCACGCTGATTATTCTTATGTAACGGAACAATGCGAAACGTGTCTCGAATTTGTCGCGAATTTTAATACAGAATTTCTTATCCAAAATATCAAGAATTTCTCAGATCGAGAAAATTTAATAAAAAAAAAATCGACAAACTATTCAAATCGTTTCTTGGTAGAATTAGCGAATGAGATATTAATTATATTTTATAAGTGAAAGATTTTATAATAAATTTATAAACAAAGACAAAGATTTATTGCTTAATTTCTGAAATTCAAAATTTCCTGTATATTTTGATCCAAAATTTGAACATTCCATCAAAGAATGAAGAAATCTCTCCTCGATAGAAATGGCGGATACAATATTAATTATATTTTTATTGCAGAATAAAGATTTTATAATGAATTATTAAACGAAACTGTTTCATCGATTTTCTAAATATATTCTGATTGATATAAGAAAAAATATTTTTGGAAATTATGCGATTAATATATGAGATATTATAAAATATATGATTCTTTATAAATTTGAAGGTTTCTTGATATTTTATTTTTAAGATTAATCAAGAAATATTATTTGTACCTGTTATGTTTTCTGAATTTATTTTTGCGAGACATTATTGATTATGAATAAGGAAGTTTTAAATTTATTATTTTTATTGTAAATTTAATATATAAAAAAATATTTCTTTCTTTATTTAATATTAATTATTTTTTTTTTGGTTTTTTTTTTTCATTTAATTTTAAAGGATTGATTAATTAAGATAATAAATACGACATTCTTATTCAATTTGTTTTTGTAGAGTTGTATAAAAATATTTAAAAGTATGTATCGTAATTTTCACGGAAAGCAATAATTATTCTTCTAATTATTTGATCGATTAAATGATTATTAGTATTCGTATTCAAGGTCATAAATTCTATGTTGTAAATTTATACTTATTTTTTTATATTGATTATTGATTATGTTTTCTATAATTTCTATTGGATTTTGAACTTTATTGCTTGCTTATTATATATCCTTGTACGCAGTTTTTCTTTTAAATTATTGGTTATATATATATAATAAATTATTTGAACAATTTTTAATGTTTTATTTATATTTGAATTAATGAAGCTCGAGATATTAATTTTTGTGGAAATAAATAAAGAAAGAAGAGAAGAAAGAAAAAGAATTAAGAAAATAGATAATAAAAGAAATATCGTTACATCATTAACAAAAAAATTATTAGTTTAAAAAATAGATATTTTAACGAAATAAGATAATTATAATTTTTATATTTAATTTGATATTTAATTTTTTTAAATAATCATTTTTTATTTTTTTAAAGCAATACAAATATAATTCTTTTTTAAAATTTTCATTCTGATCTTTAATGATAATAAAGGAAATATCAAAGTTAGTTTAGAGATTAGAGAATAACTGTAAAGAATCTTCGAATTAACACAATAAATGTCAAGATTACGGAAAAATACTTGAGCAATGATTGAATGACAAAATTCAAAAATTGCAACAAATATTGTAAATGATAATACAATATTTGCAAAGATTTATTTGCATTTTGAACAGAAATAAATTAATACTATAATATCGTTATCATGTTCCTTTCCGTTCACGCAGAGAGACGAAAACATTTGCATTCCTTAATTCTCTCGTTGTAAATAATGCTCCGTTTATCACGAATTATGTTTATTACTTTGAATAAAATACAATATTTCCATGTGATAGATCATAGAAATATGATATAATGTT